CTTGTAAAGCATTAGTTTCAGCCACTTGTCCATCCTCAACATGACCTATATCATCTTGTTGTTCATCAATGACTAAATCAACGAGATGTGTTTGCCCTTCAATCCTTCTCTTAGGACATTCATTTGAACGATGCCCCAATTCTATACACCTGAAACATCTAATAATAGGCTGCCCTTGACTACTCTTTGTTGCGTTTGAGGTCCCTTGGATTGTAAATCGTGTTTGGTTAATCGCACGACCCTTACCAACCCCAACGCTTAAACCTATTGATGAAGATGTACCTTGGACAGCACTTAGTTTTCACCCCGAACTCCGACTCAGTTGAGCTTCAACCTTTGGAGCTAGTTGATATGCATCCTTTACCTTATATGGGCAATGTAGGTTGACTTGATCTTGTATTGGCAACCTCAAACCATTGATATATCTACTAACTTTTTGCTGTTCAGTTTCTATCATATTACTCCGAAGAGTTAATCTATTAAACTCTTTTGTGTACTCTTTTACACTCTTTTCCTATTGCCTCAAATTCGGTACCCTTTGGTTAAGAGTTTGCTCATAATCTGGTGGTAAGAATTGTGATTTCAGCTTTCTTTCATTCTTTCCCAAGAACGAACTTTTCTTCTCCCCTTTCTTTCTCTGTCCCTTTGGTAATTTTTCCACCAATCGAAGCCCGTCCCACGTATCTTTGCTGTTACAAGCTTCACTTTTCTTTCTTCATTCATTTCTTTYCAATCAAAATAGTTTTCAATGCTGTCCAATCAATCTAGAAACTCTTCAGGTTCCAACTTACCATCAAACTCGTTAATATGAAGTTGAACACTATGCCCTTGATTGGACTGTAAAGCTTGCACTATTCGGTCTTCTCACCACTGGTTATTATTCCTTACATGCTGATCACCCTCAGGTTGCTCAATATCTTCACTAATAACGTCAGCAGGCTGTTCATCAACTCTAGGAGCTTGTCTTCTTCTTCCTAGCCCCAAATCACTTTCTATGTCACCATCCCTAGTAGCATTTTGAGCTACAAGTTGAGCAAGATGTTCAATCTGCTCTTGCAGCCCTCTTATAGCCTTTTAGAAAACCTCTACAGTGACATGTTGTGGTCTTTTACCACCCCTACCAAGTCCACCCCTTGTAGCTATAACAATACAGCAAAACACAACAAGGAGATGAACTTTGAAGCAAACCCAAAGAAAGAACTTGCTTTGGTACCACTTGATGTGGACATAAAACAAATTACATGCAGTACCTCAAGTATACAACAATAAGCACAAGAAACACCAACTTGAAAACAACAAAACTCCTCTTGGAACAGTTCCACTATAGTAACGATGGCAGCAAGATGGCCTTCCGCTTGGACACACAGCGATAGAGGGATTGGAAGGTGCCAAAATGGGTCAACTCCTTAAAACCCTAGTTGGGGCTGAACTACAGCTCAAACAAGAGAGAAAGAACCAAAAAGACCCCCATAGAAACAGCCCCCTTCTCCTTTATAAGACTCACTAGCTTACTTGACAAGTTAGCTAAAATCTTTACACATAAACCCCTAGAATGTTTTTCTTCCACAAATAACTTGAGAACAAAACTAACTTCAAACCAACCCCCCAAAAGATAACTTTTGTTACAAAAAGACCCAAGAGACCAAAACCCAACGGCCCTTGACCAAAAACAACAATTTGGGATCCTACTACAAAAACATGCAAAACAGCATACATTCACATTTATTTCTTTCTTTTTTTTGGCCTCATCAATGCCAGAGGCTTCTCCCCATGTTTCAATTTATTGACGTCATTTTTCAATTTGTATGCCCTATCAACATTCTTCTTCTAAGAACATGTCTCAACCACACAATCCCATACTTCCTTGGCTGAATCCATTCCACAAATAATGCTTACTAGTGTGAGTTTGCATTGAATTTACAAGCCATCCCAATCACCATGTAATTTTCCTACATCCACTTCTCGTAGGAAGTATTAGTCTCTGGTTTCTTAGTACTACCTTTAAGATACCTATTTTCTCTCTACTACACAGATGCGTATGGACTGAGCCCACTTCAAGCAGTTTGTCCTATCTAAGTTTATTGCAGTCACATGATTGTAGAAACTATCTACCATAGTTTTCAAGGTGTCTAGGCGATTCTGGGCGACACTGGGGCACCTAGTCGCCTAGGCGATAAAAATTTTATAATATAAAAATCTGACTTTTGGCTAGTTTCCTAGTTTTATATACCACTCAGCACGTATGTTAATTGAAAAAATAACAATTCTCTTTATTAAGAACATTAAATTTCCTCTAAAAATGTGGCAAATCATCACATCTAAAAGATAAAAATCTTTTACATATATTAATTTCATTATTTTCAAAAATAAT